TTTACTACCTTTGCTAAAAAGGTTGACCGGGTCGACCGCGAAGGAGAAGAGAAGAGATGCCAAATTTGGCCGCAGCGCCTGCTGCGCAGCGCATCCAAATTCAAATTTCGCTCGATCCAAAAAACAATCGGGTTGTCAGAACACTCAACGTGACCTGGTGGTTATGATAGATACCAAGATTGGTCACGACCGATATTCAGTTGATTTAGATTATGACAAAGTCGCGCCAACAGCTGGCTTATGCGACTTGTTCCGATTTCATCTATATCTTGCTGATTCAAGGAAATGAAAAGCGCTGTGGACTAGCAGTATACAGTAGTAGGTGGCGCATTGCTCAATATCAACAATGGTTGTAGTTGCTTGTGGGTTCAATCCCCAGGGTGTAGCATTTTTGCTGAAATTTGGAACAAAATTGAGAAGTACATCTCAGAGATGTGTCAGTGCCATCATTGTTCCATAATGACCCTCTTTGAGCTTTTGGTGGGTAAGGCAAAAAAAAGTTTTTAAAGACTTCTGCTTTCTTTGTATCATGAGGTCAACCCACACAAGTTCAAAAATATCAAGGCGGCTCGAACACGCGCCGAGCTGTGCACCGCAATGACAAGGTTCTCACACCTTACCGTTGCACCAAGGAAGCTTAGATAGGGAGTCCAACGATGAGTTTACGATCATCAAAGATGAGTCGCAGGTCGGCTGTTTGAACGATCTCAATGTATTCAGCTAAATACTGATTGTAACTAATCTCATTAGTTGCCGTAAGACGGTCACAATGAGTGTTTTGACAACTCAATCATTTTTTGGATCGAGCGAAATTTGAATTTGGATGCGCTGCGCAGCAGGCTGCGGCCAAATTTGGCATCTCTTCTCTTCTCCTTTGCGGTCGACCCGGTCAACCTTTTTAGCAAAGGTAGTACTTTTTCTAAAATGAATGGCACCCCTGGCCCGAGAAAAAAAAAGTTTCCAGTTGCCGCAGTTGCCGCAGTCACCGCAGCTGCTGTGATGAATTTTTTTTTGCTTGAGAATGATCCATCACTCCTGATTTGAATTTCCTTCTCTAGCTCTTGTTCTTTGTACAATCAAAATCAACCATGAGCGAAAACCAACATCTGGATCCAATCTTTCTTGGTATCAGCCAAACCAACAAGAACAAAAGATTGTCTTCTAGATCTGAATCATCTGGACCAGAAGTCTTAGCAGATTTGACTAATGGGGCATGTCTCACTTTCTGTATCTATTCTTTTTTCTTATATCTAGACTGACTCGCCTCAAAATTTCAAAGGTCAATTGTGCTTCAAAGACCAAGGGCAACTCTGAAAATCGTGCAGCAGAAGATGAAGATGGCCCCTTCAAGTTCAACTTTAACTGCGATTTCTACGTGCCCAACAAGCAAAACAAGTCTGGGTTTCACCAAATCACCTGCTCCAACTGTACGATTGAATGGGATTCGAACAATTTCAATTTAGATGAACTCAAGTTAAAATGCGCTGAACTTGCCAAAAGTGACAACACAGGGACGCACATCAAGTCTGTACTCAACAAGGTAATTTTCGATGAGGAGAGTGGGGGGGTTTGGACTCTATACATTGCTTCAAACCACAGCTTTCCAAAGACAAACAGGAACCGCAAAGTGTTAGATCACAGCAATTTTCAATCGTGGGTTGAAGAGGCACATGCAAGTTATCCTAAAAATAAGGCTGGGATTTCATTTGTAGCTCCGCATCCGAGCAAGCTCAAGGCACGAGCCGAGGCGGTGAGTACAGTGTCCAATTTATCCCCGGATTTGATGCAGCTGACATCCTTACCTTGCAGGCTGCCCAAACTGATGCTGTGATAGCGCATGCCGAACGACAGGAAAAGCGTCAGGCATTGAGGCCATCAGATAACTTTGAATCTGATCCTGAGGTGAGTCTGTAACCATCTTCATTCTCCAACGTTCTCTCTTTGGATGCTTACATCATCTCCACATCCAGAACGGTGATTCAGACAGCTCAATGAACTCTCAAAATGATGCTGTAACGGCTTTTGCAAACAAACTCTTTGAAAAACATGAAATGAACAAGAAGTACAATAAGACATACCCTCCGATCATTGACCCAACGGATTCAACTCGGTATTTCGCCTTGACATCGAAAAAGGCTAAAGAGTGGGCCAAACACCGTGTAAGTCCAGACCGTCTTTCAATTCAATTATAGTGTATTGATTGTGAACAATTGAACGTTAAACTCTAGTACGATGATGAGGTTAGCCTCACTACCCCACCGGCTCATTTCAAGTATGATCTCACAAAGACCTCAGCAAAACAGCATGACTCCCCTCAACCATCGTCATCGTCTGCCCCCTTTAATCCTGCCGGGTTTACTGAGCTACTTGTGGGAATGGTTGCCGCCATCAAAGCTAGTCGGTCCCCTACTAAGCCTCCAGGTCACGAGCAAGAACCAAATAATCCAATGACACCTCAGCCAGCGAAACGACCAGCCAGTCCCGAAGCCCAACGAGCACTCTCACCTTCGCCTCCTCTTGCCGATGATCCTTCCAGCGAAACCGGGATCAACGGATTCCTTGAATTCTGCAAGTTCTCCGCTGAAAAGACAAACAACATCAAGCGGATCCTTGAGGAATTGTCGGTCACAGACTACCGACTAATCAATGAAAAAGAGTTATCACGACAAGATCTTCTTAACAAAGGACTTCCTAATATCACTGCTACAATGGTCTACAACAATGCTATTAAATATAGAGAATCTCAGATCCACAAAAGAACCGAGGCCAAAAAAGTTAGACAAGGCCTCTAATTACCAGATTGATCACAGGAACCATTCTGATCTTTTTCAAATTTGATTATTTTACTACATATCTTATGATTTGTTGTGAGCGCCAATGTCTCAATCACCACCCTCTTTGTACATATATTGTTCAAAGATCCTTCCTCCTAAATTTGGTTCGAGTTGGTTTCTTGTAATGAAAAATGCTGTGTTAGCCATAGTAACCTATCTGAGTCAGATTGACCAAGATAGAAAGGTTGAATTATCGATCATCAAAGTGACCGATCAAGATAAAAAGTGATCTTGATTGGTCACTTCTTAAAAAGTTGCTTTGCAACTTGATCGACTTAAAAACTAAAGTGACCGTGACCGCTCGAGATAAAAAGTGACCGATCAAGATGAGATGAAGAATCTCGATTGGTCACTTCTTAAAAAGTTGCTTTGCAACTTGATCGACTTAAAAACTAAAGTGACCGTGACCGCTCGAGATAAAAAGTGACCGATCAAGATGAGATGAAGAATCTCGATTGGTCACTTCTTAAAAAGTTGCTTTGCAACTTGATCGACTTAAAAACTAAAGTGACCGATCAAGATGAGATGAAGAATCTTGATTGGTCACTTCTTGAATACTTGCTTTGCAACTTGATCAACTCAAAAACTTGATCAACTTAAAAACCCAATATTTCATTTCAATAGTGAATCAATTGACTCTGCCTTCTTGTCTTAAAACACTTGGTCAGGATTAGGAAACCAAAAAACAACTATCATTTTTTAAAATAACTTGATCAAAACTTGTCAAATAAGCGGGTAGAAAGAAAAGACATCGGACATGAGATGAGAAAATACAGATATCAAAAGTCAAGATCCAGATTCTCATCATCCACATCACCATCCTCGTCATCAG